CTGAATTTTGGGCAACATAGGTTTGTTGTCACTCCATCAGCTGTGAAGCCGCGCTGCGCCATTTCCATTTTCGAATAGAATTTTGCTATATATATGTAGAAAGCGGAGCAATTAATGGATGACAGTATATCAGAATAGGCCTCCAAAGCCTATTTGCCATTACTGATGTGGGATTATCTTCGTCTTTCTTTGACTCGGCAAAATTTTTTTATGATTGCCCACGAAAATACCTCTGACAGGCAGTTTTTGTCCATGATCGGTCGAAGTTATAGGAAAGGCGTGGAAGTGCCCCCCCCCCTTCGTTGGGACTGTATTTTCAAACTACAATGAAAATGTACACACATCTGAAGATAATTACATCGAATATGATCGGAAAACCTCGGAAGCTCCTTATGTTTTATTGTCAAACGTTGAATTAGTTGTTTCCTACATTTTACGGATACTGTATATTCACGTCCATAAGGACTGTCTGTATTTTTATGCTTATGCATAAGAGTTGTCTTTAATTTGCTTATATGCATTTTTCTTATATTGAAGATTATTCCGGTTAGGTATCTCCGGGCTTTCCAGGGTGCAATTTAAAATTATTGGCGGTAATTTGTTTATAGATATTATCAATATCTATAAAGTCAACAAAAGTTATATTAGAAATTTTATGTAAAAGATCTAGAACTAATAATAACAAAATTCGTTTTTTTATTACCAAAAACTAATAATCAAGTAAAGGTTCATTTGAAACTGAGGATATACAGTCGCGGGTACCGTTAATGATTTTGAATCTGATAAATTGGTTTCCGTGCTTCTTTCTTTAAAAAAATATACGCCAAAATACACGAAACTCTGGTGAAACAGGGAATAAGTCCTTGTGCTCCATGTTACTAATGCGAAAAGTAGTATGCGCGGTGTTATGGAAGCGAGAAGCATGTGCGGTCTATTTCGGCGGTGCTTTTCGTAGTTGAAACACTATAAGCGTTTTAAGCAGGGAAAGTTCTTGCCTGAAATCTCAAGCGTTTTTCTTGCTAACTCAATTATTTCGCTTTCCGTAGATGGCTTGACTTGCGCTTGCTAAGTCAAGCGGTGTACCGTCACCATGGCAACGGCGTCGGTCGCGTACCGTACTGGTCACGATCCTTCGAATGCGGGCGTTGGCCAGGAACGTTGGCTTAATATCTTATCAGATAAATAATTTTTTCACGGTATCTGATTCTGTAATTATCTTAAAATCATATTCAAAGAAATTGAAATTAACTGAAAACGAAAGGAGATAATGGAGATTATGGGAATAAAAAGTTTTACTTAGGAATAATAAATGATTATAAGACTAACAATGTTCCTCTTATTTTCCTTTCTCGTCTTTCTAAATCGAGAATATATCTGCTATTTTATGAAATAAAGAATATTTCAAGTGAAAAAGTCTGAGAAATTCTAGCAACATTCTTCTGTTGATATCATATTCGATGATTTGTTATATTTAACCTCATAAAATCGGATATATGGGAATGGGTAGGCCTATATTTTAATTCAGGGATATTCATTTGTTTTGATAACGCGTCAGAATGAAAGGGCAGTCAATTGGAAGTGTGTGTCTTTGTTTTAGAGGCACTTTATATGAATATAGGAGAAAATATAGAGCTTTGTTAAGATGTTTGGGTAGATTTATTTACTTCTCTGTCATCTTGATGCGGCGCTAACTTGTCAGTTGTTTTGAATTGCGCGCTCAAACTGTTACCAACCGCAGGTGAAATAAACTCCACCCTCGACTTGTGCATAAGTTATCTCTTTCCGAGATTGTTGGTGGGAATATTGCTATTAAATTTCGTGTGTTATTTTGATATTTCTATGCTCATCAAGGACTGTTATGATTTGTGCTTTATAAAAAGACATTTCCACATGTCTGGCATCACTGAAGAGGGCCTGCCTGCGTTGGAAAGCGTTTTAAGCAGGGAACGGTACAGCGCTTGGCAAGAATTCTTGCCAAGCGCTCCCCTGCTTAAAACGCTTTATGTCTGCCTGGGTACTCGAACACAGTCAGGTGTTAGACGTACACTAGACCAGTAGAATCGCGTCTTTAGATATGCTTAATGTGTATTATTACCTTCATAATATATATGCAAGATTCATTGACATATTTACTTTATCGTGTTATTAAAATAGATGATTAAAATAGTGTCCATAACGATATATGTTTCTTTTTATTCCCAGCCTTAACTGTCGCAACGGGGCAAATCACAGACAAAATCGCAAAGAACAGTCATAAGCCTTTCGTGAATACCGCCCAAAGGCCAGTTTCACTACTATACGACCGTAAGGCATTTATCAGCTGTTATTTATCATAGCGTTTACCTGTGATGGTAAAATGGGATTCAGGAAGAAATGGTAACTCGCATCACTTGAACTGCAATCGTAAATAGACTCATTCCAACTGTAACGAACAGAGGCCTCTAGCATAGCAATTCCACCAATCAGCGAGCGCCATACATAATATTTTAATTACCTTCGA